CTTGCAAACCACATAGGAGAGGTAACCCACACTAGGCATGCCCGATGCGACGAGCTCGACCCAGAAGGCAAACCCCTTGCTTTCGCTGGCAAGGGGTTTCAAACTTGAGACCTCTAACATGGAAGTCCCAAGCCCAAACCACTAGGCCACCCCGAAGGGTAGCACCGTGCGATCTTTCTGGTGACTTTTTTTTTCATATTTAATTTGTGTAGCATCGTGCCATCCTTCCGGTGACTACCTTTTTTGCATATTTGATTTGCGTAGCACCGTGCATCTCTCCGGACTACTTTTCATATTTAATTTGCGCCGTGGATTTTTCTGAACTAATATCTGAGTTGCATAGCATCGTGTGTCTTTTCGGTGACTCCTCAGATTTGATTTCCGTAGTTCCATTCGTTTTTTCGGTGACGACTCAAACCTGATTTGTGTAGGGTTGTGCCATCATTCCGACCCTACCCATATTATTTCCCTTTTTCAATAGGGTCGTGCCATCAATCCGACCTTTCCTATATAATTTCTATTTTCTAGTTGGGCTGTGTCATCATTCCGACCCTATCCATATAATTTTATTTGACAACTTTCCGCCATCAAATCTACTCCGTCGTATGAGCATGTTCCGGCCAATTTTTCGGTGACTTTCTTATTTAATATCGACTCATCTATTGATTCCAACATGATCCATATACTTTGTACTAGATTTTGAGCACTTTGTTGCTCAGGGGGAGTTTAATAGCCTTGCATGTCGATTATGTGGGTCACTCAATGGTCTGAAACAGTCTTTGCAAGTTTGGTTTGGGAAGTTCAGCATTGTAATTTTATCACTCTGTGTTTTATCGGCATTATGCATCAAATTCAGTATTTCATGAGAAGATTAAGCACATTGAAATTGACTGACATTATGCATCAAATCCAATATTTAATGAGAAGACAAGCACATTGAGATTGACTGTCAATTTTGTGAAGTCGACTGATCAACTTGCAGATATCTCACCAAGCCCCTCATCGGTCCTCGTATTAATTACATTTGTAACAAGCTAGGTACATGAATTGTATGCACTAGCTTGAGGGGGAGTGTTAGAACATGAATATGTTTATACAATCCTATGAGAATAGGAATAGGTTTATACAATCCTATTAGAATAGGAATAGGTTTATACAATCCTATTAGAATAGGAATAGGGTTATACAATCCTATTTAGAATAGGAATTGGAATAGTTAATAGTATCCTACTTGGTAAAGGATTGTATTCTAGTGTCTATAAATATGGTCTCAATGTAATAATGTAGACACAACAACAATTCAATACTATTCTTTTCCTATATTTCTCACAGGTTCTGCCCCTCGACATGCTGTAAAATTCCTACTTATCAAAGAAACATGGAAACAAAAGAAGATGAAAGACAGGAGAGAAAAAGCAGCAGCTTCTGATTTTTATTTCCTAGGGCTGGAGGTGACGTTGCGTGTGAGGCATGGGAACTTCTCATGGACTTTAGAGTTATGTTAAATAGCTTAAATCTGAGCTCTGCGTGTCCTTGTGAGAATGCAGTTGTTCTTTTCATCAATTACTTGGTGGGTCATTTAAAATTTGTTGATAGGTTGAAATTTTTACTTGTGCCTCTTGATTTCTCAATTCCATAGCACCATTTATCATGTACACTCCCTATTGGTGGAATGGGATTTCCTCCCTTAGTATAAATGTGCATATTCCAAATCTAACAACTCCTGCATATCATTCATATTCAAAACTAAATTCCCATTAGTAGAACAAATTCTGCTTACATCTATACGTTATAACAGAGGGCATCTCCTTTTTATCTTCACAACACCTCCTGTTTCTCTGTAGAGTCCAAGCATTGCATAGGGGAACTAACATCCAAATCTTTTTATGAATTCTGCCAGCATAATATGTCTTCCAGCAGACTAACAATCTTCTAAAACTGTAGTGTACTGCACAATATACTCCAAAAACTGTCAATAACATTTCCCTGATCTGCCAAACTGCAATGTATGAAAAGATGCTCAATAAACTAATTAGATATTTCACATAAGTAACACCTGCTACATAGCATATACCCTTAAGATTGTGAAGTATATTCTTAAGATTGTTGATACCATTTTTTGCCTTCTCCATCTTTTAAGATTAAGTGACTCCTAATTTTGATTTTCCTCACATTCTCCATAGTTCAACCAAGCTCTCATCTTTCCTACATAATGCTTACGACCCAAAGAATTGAGTGGATATTCATTCGGCATATTATATTACTGGTTGAATAGGTTTGTTGAATCCAGTATAACTATAAAATTTTCCTTACGAGTGGGGGGACATGAATCAATTTAAGAGTTCACCGATATAATTGGAAGGTTTATATTCTTCTTCTCCTCTAACAACCAATTCAAAATAAAATATTCTCCTCCTCCTCTCAGCTATTAAATTGCCAGAAGAGAAAATTGCCGCAGAGAAATATTTGATGATAATGATCCCAGATTACCAATCAAAAAAAGTTAATGATCCCAGAGTGTATTAGCTCTGAGAATTGAGACCAAATGTCCAAATGATTCTCACTGATTATGTTGATGTTCTTGTGAGAATAAGTTGCTGTTGAAGCTTGTGAACTGATACTCGCAACTTGTGTGAATAGTTTCTGTGGAATGGGTAATTTGTCTCTGATTTGTTTGTTTTTAATCAGTAAAATCAAGTGTATTATCAATGAGAGCTAAGAAAAAGCTCGATAATAACTTCTCAGAGAATGTAAAGAACTAATAAGAAAATCTATCATGAGAGTTGGTTCTAAACCAAGAAAAAAATGCACATTTGTTTTTAAAATTGAGAATGTTGTCTCTTCTGTCTTCAAAGCCTTCAGCTTTATGTTCCTCTCTGATAACCCACCACACAACTACAGGGATAGTGTTCTAAATCTTAGAGGAGACTTTAGACATGCCATCCTTTTTCGTATCTAACAAAAATTCCAAGGGGGTGTCGGGTGAAACCATCTTGTGTCCAAGGCGGTCAAAGAAATATACCAGATTGACATGTAACTTTACAATGAAGAAAAAGATGATTGACATCCTCAGCATCTTCTTCACAGAGTGAGCATCTTTTGCAAAGAGGGATGCCTCTCTTCTGAAGATTGTTCAGGGTAAGGCATTTACCTTTAACCACTAACCAAGAAAAGCATTTGACTGCACGCATGTTTTTTTTTTTTGATAATTCAACTGCATGTATTGTTCTAAGATGTATGAACCACCCGAAGTCTTTCCAAATGTCTGTACTAATAGAATTTGAGCCACTTGTGCATCTGAAGTGAGATGGAAAAGTCTCTTTCAGAGGCATATTGCATCTGCTCTGTTTCCGAGTCGGATGGATCAAATTGACTCTGGTTTTAGGTTTTGTAATTAGGAGGTTTGCCTTGAACCCTTAATAGTGGGTGGCTGGTCAAGTCCTGGTTTTGGATTTCTGAACGACTGAACCATCATTTGTTTTTCAGATTAGCTTTCCTATCTTGGGCTAGGCATCTTATCTCCCCCTCTTCCTTCCTTGTACACCAACTGTGACTTTGGGTTGTGGGGTTTGTTTTTGAGAATGAAATTTTTTTTTTTGAGAATGATAAAAAAATTATATACATCAACCCAGAGAAAACATATACGTAACTTTTTAAAAAAAAATAAAAAATAAAAAAATAAAAAAATTGAGGGCAGGGAAATTGGATTGGGTTGTGGGGTTTGTTACTTCTATTATAATCTGATAATTTGTTTTCTTGAGTTCACGTTAGTAGTAGTGGCATTTGGAGACATATTTGGGAACTATGAAAAACTATGCATCCCAAAATAATAGTAGTAGTCGGTGTTGCTTCATGGGCTTGAAGCCCTGCACTGCAGATAAGTGTGTGCTTTAATCGTTGACGTGCAAAGTGATCTCAACGAGAAACGTTTGATCAATTAGATCTCAATTTTAAGGAGTTAGACTAATATCAACATTATTGTACATTGGATGTTGAAATTAGTTATGTTAATTGAAATTCTATCATATCATAGTACTAAATTCACATATGTATGATATTTTTTTATCTTCCGTAAATTGTCATTCAATTTTAAAAAGATGAGCTTCTTCTTTTTGTTTCCAGCAAAAGGCGTGTGTTTCACTTCTATAGCGTCAAGCATAGTTTATTAATGTAATTTATTGGTTAATTACAGGAAAGACTGAACAGGTCTCTAATGGTGTGCCAAGACAAGTTTGAGAGTGCCAAACTCCAGAAGAACAAAAGCAACGCCACAATGGAACTGGAATCATGTGTTGACCAGTCAGTTCACGACAGCATCAACGTACTGCCCCATCTTGTTGACAAACTAAAGGCTTCTCTCGGCATCAATAATTGAAGAAGATGTAGGTAGCATCGCCATGAATTTGAGGTGAAATGAGGGTTTTAATTTTTTAATGTTAGTTTTCATAAACAGCATTTGCTTAGATGAGTCTAAGTAATGGAAATCAACTCTACAAGAAGTAATGAAAAATGAATTCAGTTTTGCAGACTATAAATCAGTTGCTCCTGGAAGTTGCTTACTTTAAGGACGAATGTGCATACAGATTATCAGTAAAATGAAATGTTGAGTCACTTTATACCTAACTTGTTTTAGCTTGTTACTAACTATTTTGGAAGTCTCCAGCATACCTTAATGTTAAGGAATACAACATTACTTGTTTTTCGTTTCTGAATTCTATCATTGTGCCCGATGAACCAAACTAAACTTATGTCTATAAAACGAGAAAGTCGTTCAACTACTTTAAAGATCAAATTTAGCTCACTGTGCTAACACAGACAATTTTAAACATTTTCTTCAAATGTTCATTTGCTGGGATAATGATAATATGGGCACTCTGAGACGGGAGTTGATAATTTTCGTTACAAAATATACACATTGGCGCAGTAAATGATTTAATGCAGATCAATGAATACTTAATGAAGAGTCTGTAAAACCTAAAATAAACAATATGACTGTATAGTCTGTAGACAATGAAATTCAAAAAGGAAGAAAATTTATCTCAACATGAAAGCTTAAAAAAAGATGCAATATCTTGATATCTTTACAGCAAAGTATATATATTCGCAAAGCATGAGAAACAGGACAAGTTATTCAACAAGCATAAGATGATTGAAGTCCTGTTCTACTGCTTCAAAATCATCCGATACTTCTTTCCAAATTTCAGTGTGACCTTCATATTGCACACAATTATTGCTTGGGTGCCAAACTTGCTTCAGCCTCACTGCTGCGTTTTGCATCTTCAAACTTATCAATGGCTACTTGAAGTTCATCTGAGCCTCCAACGGCTCTCATAGTGTAGTAGTACACACCAAAAACAAATCCTGTCAAACCTCCTGCCATAACCAGATTCTTAGTCTTGGGAGCAAGGGCACTGTATCCTGGAAGTCCAGCCATCTTTCTCAGAAGGAACTAACCTAAGACTTTTGTATTCTGCTTTTTTCTCCTGCAATAAGACGCAGAATGCAGCTGAATTGGGAATGTTTGAAACTACAAGACATCTGGTGAAAAAATCAATAGATGTGCATGTCTCTGACAAATGTGAGTATGTGATTACGGCTTACTTCATTCTCCTTTTTGGTTTTTGATGCAAGTTCAAGGTTTAATTGCATAAAAGAATGAAGACCTCAAAAGTCACAGAGTATTATAGTCAAGTAAGCAAATTACATATAGATGAAAATATCAGGACATAAGCTTCCCAGTTCCTTCCTACCACAACACCTTGTGGAGCACAGGTACAAAAATGAGGCTGTATCTAATATAGACACCAGCTGAACAGTATAAATCAGACATTACATTTCTATTTATTTTCATAATTTAATATGCCTATACTGAAAACAAGTACTGCAAGATGCATTCAGACATCATATTATAATAAGAAATGCAAAAACATCTACTCCATCAGGTTGTATTATAACATTCAAACACAAGATGCATTTAAATTTCCAATCTAGCTTCGAATTACATTTAATTGAAGGTAAGTTATTTCAATGTTGAAAAGACTTATATCTTAAACGCAACAAGGTTCAGTGTACATTTAAACACTATTATCATAGAAGGAAAATATGAGATTTTTCATCTCAACATTTAAAAAAGTTTACTTCCAATTTTTTTTTGTGGCGTCATAAATGTCCATTTAGTGTGTACATTCAAATAGGGGATGAATGTAAACAATATCCACCATCCATTCCCACCGTATTTAGTGTGTGCATTCAACTAATTTTGTTGTGGCGTCATATTTGCCCCCTCACAACTTAAATTTAAAAAAAAACAAAGTACCCCAACAACAATATCCACCATCCTATTCCCATAAGGGCAGAATGCAAGGAAAAAATAGAAGGGCAGAATTCTTCCGAGACAAGTCAAGTTGAGGGAAATTGTGGGATGGAGCCAAGCAAGAAAATGCCAACCGAGTAGCCAAGTTTATGCTATCTGCACATGATGCAATTTTAGGACAAGGTTTAACTTGTGTTGTGGCCATTCCTTTATCATGGAATATCTCCATCAATGATTTAACTAGGCAACATTTGTGTAAGCATATCTATCTTCTTAGCAATCATTCAACAATTAGCTACAATTGCTACTTGCAAATTTATTTTCCTCAAAATTCAGATATGTTTAAAAATTCATTACATAGTCAGATCATACCAAATGAGAGTTAACAACTGTAGAGAGTGTACCAACATATTTAACCCCAAAGGAGACACTCAGACTACGTCTCAGAAAACCACTGATACGGAGAGAAATGCATAGTAAGGGACATAACCCAGACCCATACATATTTCTGTAACCCAACATCACTGGAACACATTGATCAATTTGCTGATGACTGAAGCAATGTGACACAACGGCATAGAGATATACCGTAATATTGGAGTACAACGCTCTTAATGACACGAGTGACAAGTTATCAAGATGTTGTATGTTTCCGTCCAGCCAAAGAGGTAATGGATTCAAAGAGGACGTAGTTATCTCTAAGGATCTAAGACTCTTAATGAATCCTAAGATGCTTGTTAATTATCCATCTTACCAGGTGGGCTTCAAAAAGATACTATCATTTAATACTAAATGCTCTACACGAATACGAGATCAAGATAGATTTGACCATTGTTACAAAGTCAAGCAAGCAAAACGAAAAATCTATGATCGAACAATTTGGCAACATCATATCTTGTCTAAAGAGACCAAACTTGAAATCAAGCTGGAGGTAAGTCCACATGGACATAGTAATTTACTACCTCTGCTCGACAATACTTGTAGCATTCATAACTACTAATGCTTATACCAACATATGCAAAGATGTTCCAAACTTTCAATAATACATGACAATTTCCATCAAATAATTCTACAATTCAAGCGAAAGAAACGATCTTTCATCCATCAAATACCCAAAAGAAATCAAAACCCCAAAGAACTACAGACACAAACAAAAAAGGGCAAGTACTTCCTTTAATTGACATTGTTTCCACTAAAATACACAAGCAATTCCAACCTCTAGTTAGATATATTACAACCAAACACTACTTTTAAGCAGGCAAGTGCAGTACATCAGTATTGCACTGATCCAAAAACTATTGAAGGTACATGCGAAAAAATGATCAAAAGAGCATCCATCCACAATCAAATCATCGCATCAATAATAAGTTAATTCAATGTCAAGTAAGCAAAAGCCAATCACAGAAGCATATATACTCATTTCTTCCATAAGAGTGACTCAAATTCGAAGTTTCTCTTCGTTAAAGGAGCAAACGTTTTCACTGAAAGAAGTAGAATTAAACAAAATCAAGAAAAAAAAGGGAGGAGAAATTGGAAATGAACCTGGAAATCTTGGCGAAGTAGGAACCTGAAGATGATCAAAAACCCTAATAATGTCAAAATCTATTTAGCAGGAGACAGATAAACCTCTTACATTGTGGGCCGGGTCAGATGGGTTTTATCAATCCAATCCACGTCTTATTTACAAGTTTTTGCATGGGTTTTAAATTTTGGCCCATAATATTTATTTGATGCAAATTGTGGATTAAATCCTTCGGAAAAATTACGTGGATAAGCAAAAATATACTAGTTAATTAGTTAATATAGCAATAGTTTGAATTAATTACAGCTCGCAGCTTAATTTTAGATGTAATTATGTCATTTATACATATACAAATACAAATTATACATATATATACAATTATATGACAGATATATAAATACAATTAGTCTCTCTCCGCTCTCTACCCTCTCTCCTCCCTCGCTCGCCAGATATACAAATACATATGTATACCAGTTACATATATACAATTATTTGACAGATATACATTTACAATTCGACTGATATACATATACAATTCGCCTCTCTCCACTCTCTGCCCTCTCTCCTCCCTCTCCCAATCTCGCTCGCCTCTCTCCTCGCTCTAACATGTAGCTACGAATCGTAATTAGCAAACTATTGTTATGGAGCATAATTAAGTTATTTTTGAGTGGTTATTTGTGAAAATTCTCCAATCCTTAACTATGATCTAATTTCACGGAAACAACTTTTAATAGATTTTTTTTGGGGGTGGGGGGTGGGGATAAGTTTTATACTTCCTCTGTCCCTAATTACTTGTCCCTTTTGACAAATTAAGAAAAAACAATTTTTTTTACCTATTATAACCTCAATTAATTACTTTGAAAAAGGTAGAACTTCTTGAAGATTTTAAGTAGGGATGGCAATTGGGGGAGGGCAGGGCAGGGGGGGACAGGGCACACCCTTAATAGGGCGGGGCAGGGGAAGCTTTAAACGGGGCGGGGTAGGGCAAGGCAGGGCAAGGTCTAAAATAGAGGATGAGATAGCTAGAGGAGAAGAATCGGTGAAGAAAGCTAAAAAACCTCAACGATTTGGGGACTTTCGGGCTCCTAATACCGTGATTCTGCAGCCTAAAGTACTAGTTGGAATTCATTATATAGTCACAGTCACTTGAAATTAATAGAATAATATTTTTGGAATTTTGTTGTTTTGTAAGGTATTGATTAATTAATAGTAGCAATTTAAGGTGTGATTTATTATTTTTCTACATTCCAATTGTGATAGAATAATAAGTGTGCTACATGCAAAAAAAAAATCAAGTTTACTCCAATTCCTACCAGCACTTACCAATATTTAAGATACAACTAAAAAATCACGTAACTTGATGGGTTTGGGGTCTTGCACTGTTATTGTAATGGGGGAGGGCAGGGCAGGGATTAGTGGGGTAGGTTAATTTTTTTAAAAATGCTAAACGGGGTAGGGTAGGGCATGCCAAAATGTTAATAGGTCAAGGCTTACCCCACCCCGCCCCGCCCTAACCTATCCTATTGCCACCCCTAATTTTAAGTTTTTAATCCACTTCATAATTAATATGGGTAAAATGGTAAACTCACTATGTCAATCATTGTTTTCTTAATAGGTGTGTCAATTCAAAAGTGGATAAGTAATTAGAGACAAATGAAGTGATAGTATTTAATTCGCAGGACAAGACTTTTAGAGTACTTTTGTCATTATGACATAACTTGTACAATTTTGAGACATAACTTGTAGCATTGAACTTATGTCTTATGTCACTAAACTTACGTCTTGGACATAACTTAGATCACCAAACTTGTGTCTTGGTTTGTTTTGCCATAACTTTTGTGCCTTGGGATATAATTTGTGTCACTGAACTTATACTCAGGGGCATAACTTATCATTTAACTTATGTCTGGGACATAATGTACTACGGGGTCGTTTGGTAGGCCGTATTAAAATAAATAGTCCATGTATTAGGTGTGGTATTATTTAGTACTATGTTTGGTAGGAATTTGCGCCTATGTAGTTATACCTCCTACATGGTATTGTAGGATGTATTACTAATACCTTCCATTTGGAGGTATTATTAGTAATATACATAGGATATAATACCATGGGATAAGTCTATGTAAAGACAAAAATATCCCTCAAATCATTTTAATTATTTTGTTTATTTTATGTTTTATAATTGTACTAGTAAATTTATTTAAGGGAAAAGGGCCTGATATATCCCTCAACTTTGTCATTTGGAGCTAATATGCCCCTCGTTACGAAAGTGACTCATATATACCCTTACCATTATACAAACGGCTCACATATAGCCCTACCGTTACAAAATGAGCTCACATATACCCTTCATTTAACGGAAGTGAAAAAATTAGTTTTAAATTTATATTTTTGACTTTTGATTTCTTTAAAAAAATATTTTGGGGTATATATGATTTTTCTAGAAAATTTCAAGGTATATTTTAATTTTTTTCGGACATAAATTATTTTTTGACTTTTTGATTTTCATTATTTGAGTTTCTTTCTCTTATTTTATTTTTTTTCTTTCATTCCTTAGTGTAAAGAAAAAAAATTAAAACTATTTTTTTTGTGGCTATTATATAATTTAAAACTATTTTTTCGGATATATTGTAATTTAATTTTTGTATTTGAAGAAAAAAATTGGGTCATCTATAATAAATTTTACAAGAATATTAGCAAAACTTAAATAAATTTGACCATCAAAATAATAAATCTAAATTAGTCATTGAAACAAAAAAAAGTTAAAAATAATAATATATGTTTGAGGAGGATATGGGATTATATATTTTTAAAATAATTAAAAAAATTAAACTAAAATTAATTTTTTCACTTCCGTTAGAGGAAAAGGGTATATGTGAGCCATTTGTATAATAGTAGGGGTATATATGAGCCACTTTTATAACGAGGGTATATCAGCTCTAAATGACAAAGTTGAGGGGTATATCAGACCCTTTTCCCTTTATTTAAATAAATTAGCTTCCAAATTATTTAGAGAGAGTTGTTTGTTACTAAATAAATCCAATACAAATTAATACAATATATATTTTGAACAATTTATAAAATTGCATACATATTAAAACTACAACTTGCAATTTTTATGTATAAATGTAGATGATTTATTCAATTTTACAATTGTTTACCGCCTTTTCAATTTTTAAAGTGATATATAGTTTATCTTTTTTAAATTGAAAATTGACATTTTGTAAGTGAACAATTTACTAAGATGATAATTATTTATCCTCAAATAATTTAAGTGGAAAAAAAGGCAAACATGACAACAAAATTGTTCTTCTCATAACTAGTTAGAAGGCCATAAAAAATAATATTGTCTGGCAATTATTTACCTTAACTCAATTACATAA